CCTAAAACATGCTGCCAGGTGATTATAAAAATGTGATTCAGAAAAATGTTCTCTAAATGCCCTAATTTTATGAGAAACATGTAAGAAAAGATGAAATTCGGAAAAATATTACCAAAATTTGTATCAACATTTTTTAGTTTTTGACCAAAAATGTTGCGAAACGTTCTCATTTTGACCGAAAATGGTATAAAAACATTTTTGAAAAATTTTCTCTAAATGCCCTTTTTTGTGAAGATCATGCGGGAAAGGATAGAATTTTAAAAAATAATTTTACAATTTTTTTTATCAAAATTTGACCAAAAGTGACACAAAAAGTTCAAAAGTTTTTACTCAAAATGATCTAATTTGATGAGAAATATGCAGAAATGACAAAATTTTGAATTTTTGTTCCCAAAAATGTTCACATTTTTTCTAATATCTGTCCAAAAGAAAATGCTTGATAAGTGTTTTGTCGGAAAAAAAAATTCTAAATGCTCTAATTAGAAAAGATTGAAAAAGATTTTTCAAAAATGTTGCATCATAATTTTTCAACATCTCACCAAATTTTACGATTTTTTCGAGGAAAAGCAAACTTTTCCTCATACTCTGAGCGTGGGACAATTTGACCCGGTGCATGGACGCCATGTGTATACAAAATGTGAAGGACGACTATAGGGTTACACATTTTTTCTGTATTTTTGCTCTTCAGAGAACTGATAGTATCAAACCCCAAATAACTTGTTTCAACAAAGGAGTTGAATCTTTAAATACCCAAATGACTCTCTGGATTTGTTTTGGTCAAACAAATTGTTATTTGAATTAAAAAATTATTTTAAAGATCATGAAACTTAAATATAATAAGTAATTGCATTCTAAATTGGTTTCACTAGAAACCAGAATTAAATGTTTACTTTTAGCTGTAAAAATACATAGAAAAAATAAGAGCTCATTAGTAGTCATTTCTATACACATTATAATGACTATTTCCTAAGTATTTTTCATTCTGTAAGATAAATTGAAGACATTTTACAATCAATTACCCAATATAATAGTGGTTGTTAAACTTGGTACTTGGGCTCCTTCTAGTGGTGCACTGTGGAATCTGATTTTTTGTCTGCTTTCAAGAAGGTATAGAAACAGGAACTGTGCCTGTGGCTGTGAGTGGTTTTAAAATTACAATACAATTGTAAGAGCAATTTTTTAACAAATAAACAATTTTTTGTATGCTATAAAAACACTCATAAAACTGATATTTTTAACCTAAATTTAAAACCAAACATTTTGTTTTATATCCTCACAGTTCAGTAACAGAAACATTTTCTCATTTTGGTTTATACAAGATTTTTTATTTTTTTATTTTCATGTTTTGTGGGGGAAAAAAATCAATCAGATTCAAGGTGCTGATTCGCTGTATGAACCTGGAAGTGCTGCTGATAATGTCATTACAAATGTGGAAGTCTAACAGTTCATCAGAGTCCTAGGAAAGTTCCTCTTTTTCCTGATTGGGTTCATTTTAAAAAAAAAAAAAAATCACTGAACAAATGAGAAGTGTGATTTTCAGTTAAGGATTATTTGGAGGAAAAATGTTCAACACTTGATACTGAGGAAACAATTTGGCAAACTGAAATTAATTATTCATCTATTTTTTCCATCATAGAACACAAGACAGTTCACGGTATCACCTGTGCAGCATGTTAGCGTGGACTACAAGGTAACGGGGGTGGGGGGGGACAAATGTGAGACACTTGTTTTTTTCTGGGTCATTCTCAGATTTGGGTGAAGTCATTTCTATGTTTAATTTTCTCCCTGTCCAATAAAGTACTGTTTGTTCTATTTTAATGAGTCTATTCATTCACACCAGGAGCGAACTGAGCCACAGAAGCTGCCATGATGGACGACCACATCACCTACTGCACCACGGCAGAAAACTCTGGTGTTACAGATTACTGCAGGTTGCCATGTTTCCTCAGTGGCAGGAACATGGAGGCGAGAAATGACCGAAACCAACGTGTGTTTTTCCATTGCATTTTTTTTCATAGATTTTGGACAAATCTGTGTTGATCTGTGTGGTGTTTAATAAATGACAATGTCAGTGAAAATGTCTCGTAGAGAAGTGTCTAGCAGGGCCTCTAGCTCAGCACGATCGTACCAGGAGAAGTTTGTTTACCTTAAAACCCCTGCAGTCTCTTGCACATCTTTTATTCTCTTCTTTCCTCCGTCATAGCTCGGTCTTCAGGTTGCTGGCCCGGTTTCCCTCCACGTCCGGCTTCCTGCTCTCCGTCTTCTTCTTGCTCTTCTTCGTGCCTTCTTTTTTGACTTGGTTTGGCTGTTTGTACTTGGCGTCATCTTTCTCTGCAGCTTTCCCAGGGAAAACCTGTCCCTCCACCGTGACGTCCAGGCAGCGCTCCTGCTCCACCAGGAAGTCCTTGACCTCCCAGGCCATACTGCCGTCTCGCAGCATGAAGATCACTCTGTTTGAACCCACCACAAACCTGCAGCAGGGGCAGAAGAGGAAGTGGTCACTGCTAAAGACATGGTTAACAATTTATGAAGTGTGACAAAGTATTTAAAAAATTTTAATAAATTATCTGAAAAAAAATGAATCTTGTATTTTACATTCATCATACACACCTGTGAGCACAGCACCAGAGCTAAAGTTGACTACAATGGTTCTCGTAAGGACATCGAAGCTGTAGCTGTAACAGTCCTGGTACAAACGCCAAAACTAGCAACAACAGTCTTGGTACTAGAGCTAGGCAATACAGCAAAATACAGTTCTGTTGCACTGAAACTGGTTTGATGATTTGCAGCAGGTTTATTGCTATTGTTTAATGACATGTTTAGTCCGAGATGTTTTATCGCCGAAATACCACAAGATGTCACTATCTTCACAATGTTAAAAAAAAAAACTTCCACCACAACAATTGAAAAACCGTGAACTTTTACACTTCACTCATTAGTAACGACCAGTTTTACCGCCACTAGTATATTAGTATTATTTTAAAGTAGGAAAACCAGAAAACAATGTGATTCAAAAGTGTCGAATATTCACCTCTGAATGTCAAAGTTGGCGTTGAAGAGGCTCCCCTGCCACAGGCCGGTGACCTCCTCCGTCTCCTTCTCAGTGGGATCCCCCGACACTGTAGCAAACACCATCAAAGTCCGGCCCTTCTTGGACATCTTGAGCAGCTCCTCTGGCTTGGAGGCATCCATCTTAGAGAAATCAATGGGAGGTGGAGACCTCTTGTGTTCTGGCAGATCACCTTCTTCAATGTCATCATCCTCCTGCAGATTCAGAAAAACAAAAACACTCCGCATTAATGCAAGACTGCTTTCCAACAGCCAACAATGACAAGTTAGATCATTACATAATTGTTCACTGTTAAGCTGTGCATGTTTTATTTTATCAGAGTTTAAATATTTAATATTTAAATCGGAGATAACTTTACTTTTTTTTATATACCAAACTTTAATAAAAAGCTGCTGAAATCATCAAAGTTGTGCAACAGGTTTTAACAGAAAATAATCTCTGTTCTTGAACATTTAACAACTGAACATTTAAAGGACCTGGACGTCGGTCCTGAGACCAGACCATGAAGCAGGTTAAAGACCTGTTGTCAAAGATACCCTCCAGAATTCTACAAAGAGGGGGTTCTCCCATGGAAACACCATCGAAGAGTTATGAACGGGTTCCCCGTCAGATATGGATTGTACAAAACAGAGAAGTTGCTGCCAAATGGGATAAAACCGCTCGTAAAACATAGGAGTTGTAGCAGAAACTAATGCTAAAAGGCTACTGTCTCTTCCAATACACAAGTGTAAGGGCTAACGGCTAGCATCGCAGCTGGCAGCATGAAAATCAAACTTTGTGTCAGTGCTACAAACCTCCCACTGCTCCAACAGCCTCGCCATGTCTGCGTCATTGTAATCTCGGATATCCTTCTTCTTTTTATGTTTATCTTTGCTCTCAGTGGCTGAAATACATATTAACAAACACACAAAAAGCAGGAGAGCCACACATCTCCATCCGAAGCCGGGCGCCATGTTTACAGATGGTACTCTCTGATTGGCTGCTTAGCTTGCCGGTCACGCGACATCTGTAGCACGTCACCAAGTTACAGAAGCCAATAAGCAGTCCGCACTATATAAGGGGATTTCAAAATAAAGTTTGAACTTATTGTTTATACTTTGTTGTATACATATATACCAGATAGTCGTTGGATAAAAGTTTTAAATGCTAAAATGCAGTTTTGACATATCCTTATTTAGCTGTGAGTTTTTTATTTATTATTTGTCTGGATAGGTTCTCAGTTATCCAAAAGTATTTACGTCAAGGGAAACTGGACTTGTCTTTCCAACGATGTTTTGCATCTCATCCAAGAGACTTCTTCAGTTCTAAATAACTGGGTTTTTGGGGCAAGTTTATCTTGCTTCCACCCGTAAGGTGTACGTCCTAGTGTGAAACTGACTTTACTCCAAAAAAGCATAAAAAGAGATTTTACTTTTAGTTTTCTGACCTTAGCAAAAGTCACGTAATAAATCTTGGATAACATGAAAGACATTTTTGTCCTCAGACGTCAACTTTTTGGAGGTCCATTGGATTTTAATAGTAGCCAGTATTAATGTGTCGCTGTCTTAAATCCTAACGCTTTCTATCTGGCCCTATTTCAGTCATCTTCAAAACACGTTTGCCATCTTATTTTGAAAGTATGTATTTCCGCTATATTGTCGCTAGCTTTTGTTGGCTTTACGCAACAGGGAGGCATGTCTCATGGCAAAGCAGAAAGTAAAAGCTGAGCTTAAACTTCTTTGTGACAACCGTCTGAGTGACGCCTCCCTTCGGGTTGTCGTTCATGTGAGAAAACAGACCTCCGCTCACTGAGAGACGCGGTCGGACGTTGTTTTTGAAGTAGAAGTCCAGTCACGACGCTACAACTTTCGCTAAAGTCCAGCAGCCGTTTCAGCTGCGACCACACCCTCCGCGCTTCCTCATAGAACTGGAGCGGCAGCGGGAACGCGCAGCCAGCGCCACTTTGAAATCTCCGGGAATAACGGCCGTTTCAGTTCCTTCTTTCAGACGCTTGTGAAGGGACCGGGGCTGTGGAGGGAGCTGTCGGAGCGAGCTACTGAAATGTTACCGGACCACCGGATGGTAGTGATGTAAAAGAAGCGGCTCCCAGGAGAGGACATGCGGGGCCACACTTCACTCTCCGCTCTCGAGTTAAGACGCGGCGGAGGCGGCGGTGGAGGAGGAGGTGGCGTTGGAGGACGGCGGACACACGGACGATGCATACGGAGTCGAGGCCACTGTTAGAGTCTGATCCTGGACACTGTTTGAGTACGGAGAGTTGAAAAGTGGACTGAACGGCTTGTTGGAACCGTCTATGGATTTTACTTGGGTGGGACCCAGAAGGTGATGGTGGAGCAGCAGGCCTGGCATCAGGATGAAGTGACTGAGGCAGGGTCTTTAAAATATCTTGTGTGGTCAAATTTAAAAAGAAAAATATATTATACATATATATAACCAGTTTATGTTTCAGACAAGTGAGTGAAAGGTTAATTAGAATTTTACTACTGTTGAAATCATTGAAAAAACATTGCAGCCTGGTCTTACTTCTGAACTTGTCACTGATCTTTACTAAACAGTTTTATCTTAGAAACCGTCACTCAACTCGAACACGAAGGCTAGTTAGAAACAACCCAGCTTAGTTTTATTATAACGCTGTTGTCCTGAAGTTGCATTCAGTTTCTATAAGCCCTGAACAGGAGGCAGAACTTACAACTCAGGGGAGAGGGGGGTAAGCCCCCGCATGCCCTCTCGTGGTGCCTTGCTCCCAGAGCTGAAGGAAGCAGAAATCATCCCAGCACTCTAAAGAGCTGCTTGGGTGTTGCCTTGCCTTTACAGCAGCATGATTACTCCACCAGGCCAGTCAGAGTTTGTGGGAACAAATTGGATAAGACTTCAGTGCTGTGTCAGACTCTTCGCCCTGGACTCACCATGTTGTCCCAAATGACTATAGTGGGGGAAACGTAGCGACACAAACATGTAGAGGTGCTGTTTGTCCACTGGGAGTCATAAAGGAAAAGCAGAGGTAATGTGTTTATAACCAGAAGGGTCTCCAGACATCGTCATTACAGTCCAATTCTGCACTTTGCCTGTTGTTGGGCACCTTGCTGGCATGTGTAATTTTTTGTTCCTGTAAAAACAAAAAACAACAAAGCCTGTGAATCTGTTCCATAAAACCTGGGATTCCCATGAGATTTTTTTTTTAGTAATTTTCATTTCAGGGCATTTCTTCTCATTTAGTATCAAAATCTAACCATTTACCACTGATTTTCTTAAATTAGTCACAACCATTGAAGGCAGAAACCAGTAGTAATCAAGACAAATATCTGAGAGTTAGACGTTTGTTAATATCTTCTTTTTTTTTCTTTTTGGAAAGAAAACCTAAACGTGGGGATGTTATTGAAACAGTCATCGACTTGTTCTATGTGTTTACATTGAGAATACGTGTACTGTGTGTCGGCCTCTACACAATGTATAGTTGAGGATCTATACTCTGAAGGAATTTAAGGAAGACTCTTTGGCCAGTTGTTATTTAAGAGTTTGTCAAATGCCGTGAGATGAAGCAAATGCCCTGAACACTTCACTGTGGTGTGCAGTCGCAGCAGAGACTCTAAATAATTCAATTTTTTTTCAGAAGAGCAGTTGATACCCACCCCTACACTCTCACCCTTCTCCCCTCTTTATTATGGCAAGTGGTGGTTCTGGCAAATCCACTAGTGAGGGATCAACCAGCACACCCACCAGCAGTCTGCAGCAGAGGAAGCGACTGTCCTCTATCTGTGATACCTGTAAGAGCAAGATGCAGCTGGTCGCCGACCTCCTCCTGCTGGCCAGTGAGACCCGGCCCGTACTGAGTTCTGAAGGAGTGGCCGTGGCCGACACCTTCGACCAGTGCCGCGACACCGTCATTGCCAGGACTAAAGAGCTCTCCATTCTCACCCATGATATCCAGAGCCAGCTAAACATGGGACGCTTCACCGAGGTGGGGGACCGCCTCTTGGAGATGGCCGACCTTGTTGTGTCTTTGACTGAGTGTTCCGCCCACGCCGCATACTTAGCAGCCGTGGAGACCGTTGGCTCTCAGCCCTGCATGCCTGGCTTGGTCGATCGGTACAAAGTGACTCGATGCCGACACGAGGTTGACCAGAGTTGCAATGTCCTTCGAATCACACCGTTGCCAGATCTGACCCCGCAGCTTCTCCTGGAGCTTTCACAAAACATCTCCATCAACCTCAAGACTCTTACAGACATCCTGTCACTGGCCAGTGAGCGGTCCAGGGACCGCTTTGCAAAAGAGCAGTTCAAGTTGAGCGTCAAGAGCATAAGCACAAGTGGCACAGCTTTCCTAGCGTGTGTCAAGGAGGTGAAAACTCAACCCAGTGAGTTGACCAGGAACCGCTGCGTCCTCTTTAGCGCCGCCTTGGTGCAGGCAGTCAACGCCCTGGTCGGCTTTGCCACAGAGCCTCAGTTCCTGGGACGAGCTGCCAGTGTCTCGGCTGAAGGGAAGGGGGTACAGACTGCAGTTTTGGGGGGTGCCATGAGTGTGGTTTCGGCCTGCGTTCTCCTCACTCAGGGCCTCAGGGACGTTGCCCAGCATCCCGATGGCAGTTCCAAAATGGCGGACTACAGGGAGCGTTTGCGTAACTCGGCATGTGCTGTGTCCGACGGCTGTACTCTGCTCACCCAGGCACTGAGAGAACGCTCCTCTCCCCGGACTCTGCCACCAGTTAACTCCCATTCTGTGAATTAGCCTAAAATGGTGGGGAATGATGTTCGATTCCCTTCAGTTCTACCAAAGAGACTCGGCTGGATTGACCCTGCTCATCAGGTTTGAGTCAGAAACAACAGATGAAATCTGACTCTGGCTTCAGGTTTAAAGTGTGTGACGACCAAGCAAAAGAACAGACGTGGTTCTGCGTTGCGCTGGATGTGACTCGAACCCTGTTTAAAAAAGAAAACAGATGTCAAGCCCGCCTCGTTCCTGCAGCCAGAGCTCAGAGTTTTCTCATCAGAAACCAAACCTGAAATGTTTACCTCAGTTTTCAGCTCCGGTGAAAACACCAGCCTTGATGATCGATGTAGCCTCGCTGTGTGAACCTACGGTTGGCCGACCCACTCAGTTCCTTGTGCTTTTGTGAGATTGGAACGATTGGACAGAGTGTCTTGCTGTTCTGTTCTTTTCAACATGTGTGAATTCTGAATTGGTTAAAAGCTGCTGTGAGAGTGTGCCATAGGTTTTACACTATTTACCAGATGTTACATAGTATTTTTACGTGTTCTGACCATGCATGTAATGGAGTATTTATTTCAACTATTAAAATGTTTCCTGTACGCTGCTGTCTGTCTTATGTACTTTAGTCTAGGTCACACCCATGTAACTGAAGATGGGATGGTGTCCACCTATTTGAGACACGTCCCTAAATATCTGTTTACATGTCCGTATAAAGGAGACGACTGAAGTATGGAGACAGTTCAGGTTGAGGTTTCTAGTATATGTGGATGACTTTTGCCTTGCCAACAACCTAAATTTAGTCGTGACACACTAGAGTTAATGATCCACTGCTGCCTCCATTCGTTCAAATGTGTTAATTTGTAACTAATGTTTTGTCTCCTCCTTCCAGCAGATGTTTTTTTTTTAACTTGGGCTTCAATCCCTGGTTTGGTGGTTTAAAATATCACACATTGATGTACAATTGAGTTGCTAATATCGTCAGTCTGTGTGATCTGGTGTTAAACACAGGACTCTCACAGCCCAGGTAGCTCTGACTGGGCCAGTGTCTCATCTGTACCTACAGTACACAAAGTGTAGTACACTTAAAAACTTGACCTGTAACATAAATATTTGTCGGGAAATGGCATGGCGCTCAAAGATTGACAAAGATATACTTACTAAAAAAATGTAAATATATATATAAATACGTATATTTATATATATTTTTATAAATATATACACATATATACATACATATATATACAGTATATATATAGATATAATAGTCAGGGGTATTGTTTTTAATTTTGTCTAAATTTTATAAACTGACATGTTACCAGGGGTTAGTTCGTGGGCAAATCGACTTCGACTCGTTAATTTTCGACTTGTTAATTATTAAAAATTAGAACAAATTATAGCTGATACAGCTAAAGGTAGCAATTAAGATGAAATCTGCAGCTGATCCAGACTCCAGACTGAGCATGGGCAAATTGACTTTGACTCGTTAATTTTCGACTTGTTAATTATTAAAAATTAGAACAAATTATAGCTGATACAGCTAAAGGTAGCAATTAAGATGAAATCTGCAGCTGATCCAGACTCCAGACTGAGCAGATCATCTCAGGCCAAGGCCAGGGGTTGGGAAATGGGGGAGGTAAAAGGTGGAAGGTGAGACTTAAAAAAAGAAAAAACAGAAAAGGAGAGAAGATGTATTTGACATTTTTCCTGTAACTAGAAACCCCACAGAACGTCAGGTTAAAAAGATGATATTTTCTCATTATTTGTTAATATTCTGGGACGTCGTCAACAGCAGACTATGTGGGAAACATTTCAAACCTCTAACGTAACATGTCTTTTCTGTTCTCCACCCTCTACAGTTCAAACCAGGTCACAGTCCTTCCTGTGCAGCGAAGCCATCACAGAGTCTGGGCTCTGGCACACATACACTGGCCAAATCCTCCTTTAATAAAACCTACAACACACACACGGTGGCCCCCCCACCGCACCTAAAACTCCACATAAGTCAGGGAGACACCCTCCCACCCTGGACTTTGTAGGACACCAAAAAAGAAGAGAAGAAAAACATTTTGATGGAATTTTTTACAAAGTCTCCCTGAATAAAGTAAACGTTTGTTCCTGTAGACCCAATCATACAAAGATGTTTGATGCTTTTAAGTTGATAACCCAGCCCAGCTTCCAGATGTGGGCCATGAACACATGTAATGTGGTCCAGGATTTAGGATAAAAGAAAAATAGAATATGACTTATTTCATTTCAAAATGTTAAACACATGGTGATTTTGACAAACAAATGAGAAATGAAATATATGCACAGCCATATCTACACCTATACATTAATATATACAGTATATATATATACAGATATATGTATGGGTGTAATATATATATTAAAATATATGGTCAAATTATATATATTCATTTCGACATCCATATGTATACGTACATATATGTACGTAAACATATGGATGTAGAAAATGAATTAAAATGCACATTAATTGATGTGTAATATTTTATATGTATGTGTCTATTTACACATATACTGTATGCATAAACATATAAATATATATACAAGAATATATAATTTTTAAACTATGTAATTAACTAAAGTAAATAATTTTAAAGGAAATCTGTGGCGCAAAACAAAGATGAAAAACCTTGGGTTTTCCAGGTCCTCAACAGGAACTGGTCAACAGGAAACAGAGTCTGTCCAGTCAGGAGTGGCTTCCTTCACAGGACACACTGCTGCAGTCCTAATTTTCAGGCAAGGTTTCGCCCATTTCCTGCTGCAGGAGGGAAACACTTGCCTATCCTTATCCCGAAGAATGCCCCCATCGCCACCTCTCCCCCCTCTACCCCCCCACCCCACAGTACTAACAACACCAACGTGGAAGAATAGTGTAAGCAGCCTTTACTGCATCATATGGAGCTGCTTAAATAACCATGTGGGTAAATTAGTGTTTTATTCATGAATGTGGACATAAAGTACTGTCTCCTGTAGTAAACACTGGCTCAGCTGAGAACGAGACTGTAAGTCAAAAAGATCTAGGACAGATGTCATGACTTCAAAGGTTCTAGATAAGATACCTTTCTAAGTCGCCTCCAACAGTTCTGATCAGTTTTATCGTCGTATCTTTGTCCAGTGTTGAGCTTTGATTTGATCAACTCTTTTATTTAAGCCTCCGAAATGAAGCAAAGGTCACTTTTTAACCAAATGTCAATGGAAACCTGTTCAAATGAGTGAAGCTCATCTGATTTTTTTTTCTTTCATGAAAAATCTCATCTAGAGACCTTTTGACCTTGCATGCCTACACACATGGCAGCCAAAAGGGAAACAGGAAAACATTTGAGGAAAAGTAGGAAAAGTATTCCCAGCTACTTGGACAGACTGAACCAGTTATCCTCCCACTCCAGGGTCCACATATGAAATCCATGTTAATCTGACAACAGAGAAGAACAACTCATCTACTTCTGCCTTTGTCACCACAGGTAATGAAATAATACTGTAGATATTGAGTCAGTGCTGGACTCCTGGCGGCCGCTCTACTGCAGATATAAACTCTTGGTTGACCAACAACAAGGTGAATGTAATCAGTTCCTAGAACACTGTAGTAACCTGAGAAGAGGAACCTTATCTTGGCTGCATTATTCATGTCTGGCTGATTGAATGACAAAGCTCCTTCTCCAACGTGTAATACGACACCGAGACACTGTAGAGTGAATCCCATTTTTGGATCAGCAAATTAGTTATACCAGTCGGTCCAGGAAATGATCGTTAATATTTCCGAGAAAATTACAGAAAAGAAAAACAAGAAAACACTCCTGCTGCCCTCCATCAGGGTCGCCATAGCGATGCAATACAACTTAGAACTGAGCACAAGCTGGACTTGAACCAACAACCTTCAGCACAGCCACTGTCAGAACACATATTTACTCTAAAAAAGACACCTGCCAATTGGAATCAATTTTTCCCAGCATCCCTGGTGCTTGATTATGATTAAAAAAAGATAATTTTGAATAATTTTAGCCCCTAAACATACTTGACTTTCAGAAAGAAACGTGTGTGACTCTGTGGAGCAGGTCCTTTGTTAACAGCCAGGGTGATTCACTTGTTATTGCAGGTGATGAAGTCCAGAAGTTTCTACTGAGCCTTGACATCTGCTGTGTTTTACTGAAAACACCCTCTGTTCAACATAAAGACACAGAAAGTGGAAACTTGGCCGGCGTTCCGCTCCATTTTTAAACTGTGGCCCGGCCCAGCCCGGCTCCTGGAACAGTACTACACTCACCCTTGACCTCAGAGACTCAAACCCCCAACTTCTTTTGTCTTGTCTGCAGAGGGGAAGAGAAGGTCGGCTGGACGGTTCCACACCCACACCCTGACCTTTGAGCCACGTTGACCTGCCCACAGATCTTTTTTTGGATCCAGGCCTGGGATGAGCAGACAATCATTGTTAAAATACACACACACACACACAGTGACCTTTGTGTTTAATAAGACATACGGTAATGCCAGGTGGTTTCCTAAGTGTGTGTGTGTATGTGTGTGTGTGTGGATAGGAGGGGTGAAGGGGGGCATTGTCCTAGTCAATTACCCTCACCTTAACTATTACAAATAATTAACTAGTAAAAATCCCAACCTTTAATCTGACATTTTGAAAAAAGTCCCCACAAGTACAGCTGATGGTAGTTCTGTATGGAAACACTAGAACTTAGTTAGTGGGTTAACAAAGTTAATTTAAATGCTCCATGACGCCATGAGTGTTGGTGAAACAGTGGTTGTGGTGCAGTGGTGATGTCACTGATCCTAACTACTGTCGAGGCTTCAAGCTCTTGGAGAATTTTCTACCACACACTTGAGAACTCTGTCACATGTGCAAATGTTGACACAGCACGAGTATATCAGTTTGTCAAAGGGTCACGTCCAAACACTCTGCTGTGTTAAGGTGGAAAGTTTTAAAACAGCAGGTTATCTCTGGGGCAGTTAGAACTGCAGTCCAGTCACAGCTGGTTACACTGTCGTAGGAGTGATCGGATTGGCCAGACGGCCGAGGCAGAAACGTTTGTGTTAGAGAGGTGGTGTTTTCTTTATTTCCATCACAGAGGAAATTACTAATCCTTTAATTACAGACTCAGGAGGACAAGAACAACCAGGCCCAGTAGGAGGGGGGGTGGGGGGGGGAGTGTCAATCCTCTAATTTCACAGTCAGTGTTCCTTAAAGCCTAAACACAGAGGGCAGGTGCAAACGTTAGGTTGTTTTTCAAGTGGCAGCATGCTTCCACTGGGGGCACCAGAGTGCTTCAGGTATGGCACAAAAACAAAAAAAGGAAAGGCAGGAGCATCACAATGTCTAAACAACTAAACAAACTTACAGGAGAATGAATGGATGGAATTGCTCCACCTACAATTAGAAATGAGAATGACACTAGTACTGAAAGAAAACTGAAACTTTTTCATTTACCAAGTGCTTCCCAAAATGGAGGGTGCAACCTGGCTAAGCAAATGAGAATGACACTAGTACTGAAAGGAATTTACCAAGTGCTTTCCAAAATGGAGGGTGCAACCTGGCTAAGGGGCATAGTGCTATCGCAGAAGGGGACAAAGTTATGTTTCATGACCATTTCTTCCTACCTATTAGCTTGAACCTTTTTGGGTCACAGGCCGATCGATATCATGGGCCCAATATAAGCATATATACATATATATGTAAGAATCGTTATCGGTTTTTCCTCCGTTAATAAATACCTGATAACACAATGCCTGGGATTCACCAAATGATGTGTGCCCTAAAAATAGTTTGGGAGAAACATGGTCTATGAAAATGAAAGTCACTAGATGGCAGCATTGCAGCTCATTTAATTAATCTCATACTAGTACAGTGGTTTGTACAAATAAATAAATAAATGTTACCAGGCCTATATCGTATCAGTTGATATTGAAATAGTAAGTGTTTGGACAATATCGACATATTGGATATCGGTAAAAAGTTAATATCGAACATCCCTAACTGAAACCACTAGGGGAGCATGGGAATAGGTTCTTGTTCAAGAATCCACAGCCGATCCGGTTCTCTTGCTCTCTTGCTCTCTTGTTCTGTTTCTGACAGCAGAGAAGACGAGTGTGTTATTGTTCAAACACAGTGGTTTGTTGCTGCAGGGTCCACTGGCCCGGGCCGCAGTTTGAAGTGAAACTTCCTGGAAAGTCAAGCTGTGGGCCTGTTTACTGGGGATGTTTCTTTTCCCTCTGAGGTGTGGTCCACTTCCTCCACACAGAGCAGTACAGAAACACACTCTGTCTGCTGCTGGCGGATAAGTTACTGTGACTGAGCTCATTCCCCACTGAGACTGATACTGTACAGAACTGTCACATTTCCAGGCCTGCAGTAACAGACACCACACCGTGGAGGGCAGAAACACCGCTGGGATCCACAGCTCCGTTCACATCACTTTGACTTTTCCTGTCTACCTTCCATCAGATATCAACAAATGGCAACAGTGATATTATTTGTGCAAAATGTTTAGATGTTGAATCAGATGAAAGTACTTTTGTACTTTTTTTAAATACTAAAGGTAATTATTTCTTGTTGCTTTTGACTTATTACACTGGAGCTCCATTTCGAATTTATTTAATTCCATGCAAAACCACAATCGCAGTTACAAGAACGAGCCACTAGAGGGAAGCACAACAAAATGAATGCCAGTGTCCTGATATCTGTCGTGTTATTGTGCTGTCCTGTATTTGTAACCATGATGGTCACACAACGGCATCACTGACAGCGCCATTACCAACATGAAGCCAACTTCAGCAAAGCCTAGGAACACGTTACACACTTGAACTTTACTAGCTGTTAAACGAATGGACTACAACGGTGACGTTGTTCATTGATAAACCGAGCACAGCAACGACAAACCTCAGGATGTCTATTATTTAGGGAACAGTGACACCAACAGGTAGACTGGTACTGTGCATCTGCCCCAATTCGGAAGCAGTGGTGGCAATAATTACGTAGCAGCGGGACTGTCGCTGTTTAACTGTTGCAGCTCCTGCTTAAAGTACCAATGCTAACGATATGTTAACTACTACTTGGGAGCATAAAACAGAGAGTGAGTCCACATTCATGGACAACAAACTCCATCAGGTCGGTGTCTGGAGCTGCATTTCCATAAAAACAAAATAAAATAAAAAATCAAAGCCCAAAACTGAATTGGGATTCACACCGGAGCACACACTCAAGTAAGGAGTGTGTGTTTATATGTAAACAGAAGTGGCCCACAGAGAATCTATTCATGCAGTACACACGCACACACTACAGGCATGTGTGTGATGTAAAGTAGGTGTGAGCCCTGGCCCGGCAGACTGTGGTGTGTTTTCCTCTCCTGGACGGCTCACAGGAAAAGGGGCAGTGATTTTTGGGGAGCGGAGACGTACTGAAACACAGTATTGTGTTCTTCAGGCAGAGGGCGGAGGAAAAGTAGGAGTAGGAGAAGGAGTAGCAGCAAACGAGTCCAGATGAACACCAGGCACCGACCCGCTCTCTGGACTGAATCAGTGTTTGGATCCTGTGTTTATAACCTGCACCAGGAGCAGTGGACGCTGGCAGAGAGGCACCATGATCGACTACGGTACGTGATACTTCCACCACCTACTCAGTATGCACTATGAGAATGCAGCAGTAATTATTAACATCACAGAAACCAATCTCTCACAGGTATAAAAGCTGAGAGGTCAAAGGTGACTGCACATATCCTCAGTCTCAATCAAGTAGTAAAACTAAGAAGAGAGTGGGTCTGGAGTTTTCAGAGTGTGTACTGACAGGTAAACTGAAGAAACTGAACTGTTTCCTAAACAAAAAGGTCAACTTATAAACTATGTTAATTTAAGACAGAAGAATCAGTTCGTCCACCTCTGTCTCCACAGCAGTGGTCTGTACAGACATTCTATACTCTGGGGGCTATGTGGTATTTAACCCAAAACCTTCTGGTGGAAGGTATGTGAACTACCACTGTGCCACCTCGCCTCATGTTAACTTAAGAAAACAGGGCCTAAAACCATCAACCTTCTTCCACCGTAAGACTCTAATCCTGGGACTCGTTGGTGCCTCGGTGTCGGGCAGTTTTTCCCATTTCAAAGTTAGAAAAACTGTCAAAGCTACTAATAAAAACCACAGAGGTCAAAGGTCAGTTATCCTTTGACCTCTGACTCAGAGTTTAGTTGTAATCAACTAAACTCAACTGAACTTCAAGCTCCAAGAAGAAGTCCAGATGCTTACCACTAAACTCTTTGGATAACATGACCTGGATGAATGAGAATCTTCACAGAGGTCATAGGGTCAGTCACATACAGAGTAATGGAATGGATGTAGGCCGTCATGGTATCAACTGTGATCCAGATCCCAGTGCAGTTTTGGGCTGGGATTTTTTGGAAACTAATGGATCCATTTTAAATCTAAGACAAATTAACAGGGGTGGAGCCAATAGCAAAGGTCATTGAGCAAAGGTGGGGTCATACCCTGGACAGTTGACCAGTCCACTTTTGAGCACAAGTTTTTCTCAGTAGGAAAATAAAGAGTCCTACCTGAGCGCAGCACATTTGGAACCAGACCAGGATCGGACCACGTGTCTGTGAGCAGCATGGACTTGTTGATCCACACTGGGAACTGGAATAAATAATAGTCACAGGACTTTCTTTTCACTCACTCACTCACTCACAGAGATGAAGTAGTAAAGATCACTCATTCTCAAAGTTTGATGTACTTTGACGTACTTGGGTTACCTCTAGTACAGTGGTATTCAGATAAAAAACTACCATTCCACAAAGACATTTTTTGAATTTTTTTCCAAATGTATCACAAATATACAGCTAGAGAATACGGGAGACTGAGAACTAGTGTCTGTGTCTGGGTTTAGGACTGAATTCTAGTACCAATTTGAGGGACCCTTGATTGAAGAGTTTGACCATTCTCCCCCCTGTGGCCAGTGTTGGAGACACAAGTAAAGCATTATTTTCATTGTTACGGCTAACTTTTGAGCATTCAAAATGTTGTTCCTACCTGAGCCTGGCACACCTGGAACCAGTCAAGGACTTGACCACAGGTCTGTGAGCAGCGTGCACTTGTTGTTCCACACTGTGACAACAGAGGCCAGATGGGCAGGAAGTGTCTGTGGAGGCATCTTGAGGGCAAAGCTTCACAACAATCACAACAGTGTTACCGTACAGAGCGGAGCAGCTTCTCTGCAGCATGACTGAGAGGTGTTTCCCATCACGTGGTGTTCTTGGCTGTCATCAGTCTGTCCTGCTGCACCATCTGAGCGCTGAAAATAACATAAAAACACGCAGAAAGCAGCAACAACATTCACTTTGTTCAGCGTTGCAGAGAGTCCACCCACAGATGTTCTCTCAATACGCCTCTGTTGGTCTGTGCGGTGCTGCTGCTGCAGGCAACAAGTTAGATTTCTCAGTGCATTTCCACACACACACACCGTGCAAACATGTGTAACCACAGTTTATTTAGCCTTAAGTCTAAGCTCACATTTAAATGTGACCGTCAGTGCTCCACGTTCCCACCCAGTTTTTCCTCTCGGTCCATGTGAACAGTGACACTGCTCTGTGCTCTCACCTCAATGAGGCAGTGTGTGTCAGAGGAAAGTTGGCCTGGATGAACGCTGACATCACACAGTCCCTAAGAAAAATGTTTGAAAGGCCAGTGTGTGAGGATTGGTTTCTGTCACAGACCATATATATATATATGTATATATATATATATATATATATAAAAAACTCTTATAACTCTTCCAATATATTTACATATATAAACACACATACAGTATATATGTATATATATATTACATACATTTACATACATACACAAAGACATACAAGGAGGCCTGGGACGATATATTGTCCCACTGTTTATATATAGCATAATTTTGAGACTCAACCACTAATGTGATAATTATAAAGAATATATCATATGCAAATACATCGTTTCAAATGCAAAAAAAATATTTCTCATGAGAATGTTTTACAATTCTCAAATTTCCCATAGTACGTGAACACCCCTTATTATAAACACACCATTAGGTGGATCCCTAATAATAAGCCGACTACACTCTCTGTGAACACACTCAATTTTGTGATCAATGGATTTAATGATTATCATCCCAGTACATTCAAAACGTAATTTGTTTTTTCCTATTTGTATTTCTTCAGCACGAACATTTTCAGAAACAAACCCGTGGCTTTAATTTGGTGTGATCACATTTCCATCCACGGTTCCTTCCAAATAAACACTAGAACTAATTTAAATGGAAGCAAAGTATTGAGATAACCGCCTGCACTACTCTTTACGTGCCGTGCGTTCTCCTTATTTGACTAACGTGTTATATCTGGATCAGATCAGACTCTTGTGATGCCGCCGGTCGGATGTGCTGCGATTCTAAATCACATTTTCATGTTTATATTTACATCTCATCCGTCCACTGTGAATGTTCCCAGCGTGTTGGCAGACATTCAGCTGGGGAGCATATAAAAGTGTGGAGGAGAGAGACGGGAACCTCCAGCTGGAGATCCATGTCTCCGTTTCCTGGCCAACACCAGAGAACACTAATGCTTCATAATTGCTAACAGACTTTCAGCATCTAGACCACTGATTCACTGGAAAGACAACTCTGTCTTCCAGTGCATTCACAGAAACCTGAGGGTATTTCGGGGCTGATTCATTCAGATACAGTAAGCCCCTACCCCTAATACTACATTTACGAGCACAAGTCCAAATGTTTGCCAGGTGTGGAGTTGTGCTAAATGTATTCGCATTAGCTTTTTTTCCCTCAAAAAGATTTTTTTAAATTACTGCAAATCTTTTTTTTTTTTTTTGTGAAATGCCACATCTGTCAGTCATAATGAGGTCATAATGTGGGTCTGCCTCTGTGGAAACTCAAACCCCTTCCCAACGGCATTGCCAGGTTGTAGCAGGTCTAAAGCAGCAGTAGCTGTCAGTTGACTTTAGAGGAACCAGGTTCATGGAGTAGACCAGACTGAGGTCTAATGTGTTTCTCAGCCTCGACCCATTGTTGACTAAGTGTTCAGTGCAGATGGAAGAGGCCATCCACAGTAGCATGTATAATGCATCTGAGGGTCATCCTGTACAACTCTCTGGAGTGTGAAGTGTGGATGTGATGTGTACGCAGCATCATTCGCTGCAGCCCATTAGCGGGACGGTGGCTAACACCATTATCTGCTGCGGTGTGGGACAGAATGTGAACCTGAACTGAGCCGTGGTTGAGCATCAGTATGTTCATGTGTCTCTGCCATTTAGAACAGCAGTATGTGAGTGTGTGTGTGACTGTGTTTCTGGTACAACCGTATGTGTGTGTGTGTGTGACTGTGTTTCTGGTACAGCTATACTTTTAGGGACATTACTTTTTTTGTTGTTGTTGTTGGGACTAGAGCTGCCCACAACAAGCATGGTCATTTTGACAACCCCAGATAAGGAAAGTTGAGTACCATATTTTACAGACTAAGTCACTCTGGAGTATAAGTTGCACCAATGCCCTCTAGCGGCTGTCAGTGAGCAAATAACATGTGAAAATATATATTTCAATATACAAGTCACACCTGAGAATAAGTCGCAAACCTAGCCAAAGGAAAAAAGTGCGACCTATAGTCCAGAAAATACGGTAATTAGAAAAAACATAGGGGGTGAGGACAGGAGAATGCAGATGGGTTGGGTGAAAAAACTAAAACAAATAATGAAACTTGGTGAACATAGAAATTAACTACGTCAACAAGTAAATATACAGTTACTATAAAAAATGTACAATTAGTATGAAAAAGTACATAGAGAGCTCCTACATCCCTGTGAACATTTACATTTCCAGCCGTGATATATATATAGAATATATAATTCTGCAGTAAAGACACATACATTTGGCTGCCCAGTCTCTTTTAGGAGCTGGAGCCAATCCCAGCATTCATTGGGTAAAGACGGGCTAACACCCTGGAAAGTTCTCCAGTCCATCACAAGGCCACATACTGTATACATATTAACGACCGTTCACACTCACATTCACACCTGCAGTGAATTGGTGTCTAATTATTCTGCATGGTTTTGGACTGTGGGAGGAAATCAGAAAGGCAAGAACATCAAAAACATGGGAAAAAAAACCTTTCAGCTGCAACCTGATCAAACTGCTGACCTTTTTTGCTGTTAGGCAAGAGCAGTCACCGCCTTTCCTGCGTGTGACCTGAGCATGGTTACTGCTGTACAAACATGTTCTAAATAGGGTTGGAGACTCGCTGAACAAAGTCAAAGTTAAAAAAACAAATCATAAAAAAAAGAAGCTAAAATAATTTTCAGATTTTACACAGAGGGAATTGAAGGAGACCTTTGAATAATAATAAAACAGTAAAGAGCGACATGCTTTGGCTAAAGATAAGCATGTCTGAATGATCAGCCATACAACTTATGTAATGTACTGACAATCTCCGCTGCACAAACCTGCAAACAAGCATGTGACAGTGTGTGCGTGCGAGGCAGCGTCCAAACATGTGTTTTTCCCAGAAATACAATGCAAATTAGCTGCAGTCATGTGGACAGTTAGACAGTTGTTTGTTTTGTTTTTTTTAGAAAGGGAAAGAAAAGTACTTTCATCAACACTGTGTTCTCCGCAACACACTCCGCAACACACTGATGCCCTCAGACTGTCCTAACTGGATTTTCTAATTGCCCTCCAGAGCGTCCCTGTCCATTAGGCTTCGAGCTGGCTGGGAGGAGTGTGTTGGTTCCCGAGTACTCAGCACACACATACACACACACTCTGACTGCCATGCCACTACGATACTCCCATCAAAGGAGGAAAGCAAGTACAGCGGCTTCTCGCAGGATGGAAAGGAGACGCAGAGATCAAGGGAAAACCGACCAACCAACAAGTGGCCACAACCAGCGCTCCAAGAAGCTGGAACTGCTGTCGAGGTACCGTAACTCTGACAGATGATTACAGACCGCTTCACACACATGGAGCCGGGTCACTAACCCTTCTACTCAGATGTTGAACCTCAGACCTTCATGACGACTGCTACATGACCTGTTTGACACATGTGACTGACCTTCAGACTTTGATTAACCCCCGTCCAGGTCCCTGATGCTGTGTCACTCCAAGACTAAGGATGACTGTGCAGAAGAGAGGAATTCAGTGGGAGGAGGGACAGAAAAATGGATGCAAACATCTGGCTGGAGGACAGACCTGACCGCTGGAGTTCCAGTGGGATTCAGGGACACGGGGAACGGACACTTGAAGATGAACCTTCAGCAGTCAGCCTCGGGGAAACGAGGGGGTGTAAAGGTGGACAATCGGCTTCATCAGAACCTGGCGTTTAAAGAGAAAAGGAGCTTGAGAAGATCCTTCAGCATCAAGGTACAACTGCAGGAACAAGTACTTATTGTGTTCTTAACAAACGGTGAGAAAACATAAATGATGATGACCATTTTAAATTGTATGACAGTAACATATTTCTGAAAACAGACAAAATAATGCTTGACTCTTACAATTAATGGATGGGATATTTCACAATTCAAACATTGATCTCAATAATTACTTTGTGAAATTTAAAAAGAAAAGAAAAAAGCATCAGGCACTAACCGTTCACATTTGTGATAATTAAAAATAAAAAAAAGCATCAGGCACTAACCGTTCACTTATCACTGCACTAATACACAGTCTATACACATGAAAAAACCTCGAGGTTAACATCTCACCATCAGCTCTTAGCATGTGTTTGCTGAGGCGTCAACCACTGGTCAGCGGCCCTGGCTTGTGTCAGAGCTGCCTGACTGAGATCAGGACAGTCTGTCAGTCTACAGCTGACACCACAGTCAGATGGACTGTTCAGGACTGTAGACTGATTCATATTGTTGAGGACAATTAATAATCCCATCATTTGGATTAGTCACAGATAAAAACAGGTGAGAAACACTGACCTCTACCTGTTGTTGTTGGTCTGACTTCCAGTGATATACAGAAAGATACATCACGTCACATCGAATTAAGACCCCACAGACTTTGTCTTTGTCCTTTATCACAGTGTGTTCTAATTACTCTGGGATGATTTTCAAAGGAAACGGAAGCTAAAATAAAAATAAGGAACAGCTGATGTGTCAGGGACCGTCTTCAGTCCCGAGACCCTCACTCTCAGTGCATGTGAACATCAGCAGCTGCAGTCACGTTACTGCGTCTGTCTGATGGAGGATGATGAATTGTTATGTTAATGACACAATAACATCCTCCGCACGTTCCAGGACACGTGGGTCCTGCAGCCTCCCGCCGTAGGGTAAACAAACTGTCTGACAAAACGACATACTGTTGGACAAATTAGTCAGTTTGTTTCTGATTGAAGTATTACTGTATAGTCAATTTGTTTCTGATTGAAGTATTACTGTATGTATAAACATGTTGTTGTTGTTGGTGTAGCCCAGGTCTGCTGTCACGGTCAGGACAGTTTCCTGTCTGAACGTCATGATAATCACATGCCCTGTGTTGGTGTGTTAGAACTGTGACCAGCCTCAGTGTCAAACATTCAGACAAAGACCGGGTTTGTTGTGCAGGACAGTTTCTGCATCTCGCCCTCTTGACACATTCCTCCAATGTCAAGTGGGGCGAGTCCGTGGGTCGCAGTTCACTCACTGTAATGATAATAATAATTTGAACTTTATTGATCCCACACTTGGGAAATTCTTTTGTTAACAGCAGATCTGCTGCAACAGGCTGCCCCTAGGAGGCGCTGAGTGTGTGGTTCCTCTGGGAATCAAACTCACGACTCTCTACTTGTAATGAAACCACAAACAGACCTGTACAATTTTTGTAAATTGTTAATTTAGGGCTCTTAATATGATGCTTTTAATCGAATTTTAAGAAATGACAACAACTGACACAAACTAAAATAAAAATAAAAATATATTTTTCTATTTATTTGCACATTTAGCTAACAGTAGCTAACATTAGCGTTGCAATTTACACAAAACCAAGCCCGTTTTATCCCGTTCAACAAAACATTAGCACCAATATTTTCGCGTTAATCCCGTTATTTTTTTTCTATAATGTAAAAATCTAAATGACCAAGCTCTATTTTTCTGTCAATTATTACCAGCTATAGCATTTGTGGGAAAAGGTTTCAGAGCCGTAAATCAAATGAAGCTAAGAACCACAGTGGACGTTTCACATCTGGCTGTTGTGTACCATTTCCTGGACTGACGCCCGGGCTTCTAAACAACCCTCACTGACGCTGAGCACAACAGTTATTTAATGGATCAGTGTTTCCCTCGGGGGCTAATTCATGCCATGTACAACATCAATCACTTTTAATCACCTACAAGAAGGACACTATATCCTGGACATGACTTTAATGCTCTCATTTGGAACCAAATCCTTGATACCTTAAAGAGCCCAGGAATTAAGAGAACTGAAGTCCTGTTGTCGGAACAGTAGTTTCTAAGAAACACAAATACAACATTTCACAGTGTATTTCCAACTGTCAGTTTACATAACTACAATCGTAACTGTATGCTAGAAATTAACAATTTTTTAACAGTATCATGCCCTTTTCAAATACCTGTTAAATAAACAAAATCCACGCTCTGTTTCCCTTGTTTAGCCACCATGCTAAGTGCTAACAGCTACGGCTGCTTGACACTCGCTCAGTGAAGATTTTCTTTTTGTATATATAATTATTAGACAAAGCAGCGTCTTGTCCAGAACACACAGGGAGTCTGTGATTATGGAACTTGTTAAGCGTCAACTGTGCTTTAGCCACATCATAAAAACATATTTTACAGGTTTTAAATTTAGCAGCTGATGTAGTCACGCCCAATAAACAGATTCTATAAACAAAGACTCAAGTTCAATCGTCTATAAAAACTTCCTGAAATGTCAGTGCACACTTTATGGTTCAATCGTCTATAAAAACTTCCTATTTCCTGAAATGTCAGTGCACACTTTATGAGCTCATAAACCTTATTTTTAACATACAAGTGAAACAGTGTACTTTATATGTCCAGTGTGTGTACAGTGTATATATGTATGTTTATGTGTATGTAAACGAGTGCTTTCTTACAGGAGAGCAGTATCTGGAGGATGTGTGTTGCCACTGGTCCTTCAGAGGAGGTGTCCACACCACACAGGGCTGAGGACATGGTCCGGACTGTGGACAGGGACAGTAACAGGGAGGCAGAGAGGAACGAAAGAAACACATACAGGTGATTATTAACAACAGGTGCATAAAAAAGCTAACACTGATTTCACAGCATAGTTCACAGTTTGTCTCCTAGTTTCAAAAGCCTTTCAACGTTCAAACTGAATTGAACAGCAGAATATTTTAGCATTTTAGCATGACTTTTACATGAACCCTTGGGAGTTCCCTTCAGGAAATTAAGTTAACTTAATTACTGAAAATAAAAGAAACTTTAAATAGGCTGAATGAAATTAATACACAACTAAGTGTCCTTGACTGGTTAACACACAATCAGCAAATATGTTTAACAGGCACATATAAGTAGGGATGTCCGGTATTAACTTTTTTTTATTAACATTAAATGAGCGTCATTGCTGCCATCTAGTGACTTTCACATCAATATACAGCCATGTATCCCCAAAACTATTTTTAGGGCACATATCATTTGACGAAACCCAGACATTGCGTTATCAGGTTTTCAATATCGGAGGAAAAAACTATGATGATTCTTTCAGATATTACATAGTTATGCTAATATCGGTCGGCCAGTAATATTGGACATCCCTAATTGTTAGTGTACATCTCTCTAAACCAGTCCTATCATCACCTCCAACACTTCCTCTCTCTCTTCTGTTTCCTTCTTCCAGGAGCTGCAGCTTCCCGAGTCCAGACCAGCTGGCACCTTTTAACGGACACGTTGTAAACGGCAGCACTTGGATGGTAGAGCAGGAGGCTCTGAGAAGTGTTCACATTAGAGCCTGTAGTGAGGTAAGAGCAGTTACATGTTAATGTTGTTCCTCTCGCTGTGGCTGGTACTCTGAGTATTCACCCACTCATCCCACACACTTGGAAACCAATCTGAGGAGCCAGTACAGGAACACATAGACCAACCTAAACAGTACCCACTCTTTGGAGTGCCAGGAAATGGAACATAAAGATTGTGCTGAATCCTATATAAATGAAATAAAAAAAAGAATGACCCTTTTTTAAGGACTACTGTATGTGTCACACCCCAAAAAAAGATCATTATGAAGAAAAAAAAAAACTACATTTTTACATTCAACCGATGCGAATTGTCACAGATTTGTATTGATTTTTAACTGATTTGAGACCCATCGTTACATCCAAAAGGTTGTAAATGAGCCAAAAAGGTCACAGAGGTCAGGGGTTTATTTTATTTTATTGCCAGTGAAACGTGCAGCTGTGTGAACCCAACACCTTGCTCTTCACTACAGGACATTTCCCTNNNNCAACATGACAACAATTTCCAGGCACTCACCTCTGAGGTCTTTATCACTGCCTGGACACACTGATGAAGTTCCAGCCAACAACAATCCCCTCAAGGTAAAGAACTGTTTGCACTGTAGGACAGAGTGAGTGTTTACTGTCAAGTGGACAACACTGTGGAGGTCCATCACAGTCATACAGCCCACACCCACGTGATTAGGGTGTTTGCGTTGACAGCCCTAATTGTTATTATGGTACATAATTATAATAAATGGACCTTTGACTTATGAAGAATAATGTATTTGTGTGCATCTGTGTGTGTGTAGTTACCAATCCCTGAGGTGAATGAGGACAAATGCTGGAATACAGTGAAAACAGAACAGAGTCCAGATGAAAAGACCATCAATGATACCAACAGGACGCGGGCTCATTCAACAAGTTGGTCTCGAACATTTCCAACATTTTCCTACCAGAAATGGAAACTTCGCTATCAATGCTCTGTGATTGGACACATTGATCAAAGGCTGTGCTGCTGCCAAAAATATTTGACATCTTTAAAAATAACAACCATATCAGCTGATGTTCCGTTATGTGCTGACGTTGCTGTATTTATATTTGTCTCTTTATGTGTACTGAAGTATGAAAGTACTAATATTTGTCTCGTTATGTGTACTGAAGTATGAAAGTACTAAAGCCACGACTGTTATTTCATCAGGTGTTCAGCCATACTGGATCGGAGACTTGGACACCATCATCATGAAGAACCCTGAACTGTATACCAGTCATGGTGGTTTTCATGAGAACAGGAAGTCTTTGTCACAGCAGCTAGAACCTCCTTACACCACACAGGTATTTGTTTTTACTGTATGGGATGGCCTGATCCGATATTGGTGAAAATGTCAGGATTAAACACTAAAAAAAAGTGTGTGTGTGTGTGTGTGTGTGTGTGTGTTATAGCCAGTGCATCGAACCTCTCGCTCGCTCAGCTCCACACAGCTGGTTCCTCCCGGCAGCAACATGCAACAGGCCTTTATCATCTGTAACATAGTACTGATGAAAGGCCAGGGCAAGGTAGTGAGTACTACGATTACGACATTTTTGCCATTTTGCAGCAAACTGACAAATTGAATATGACTGCTGTAGATCTTGGTGTTTTGCTGTATTTGACCACGTAAAGGTGCATTACTGACCCTACTGGGTTTGATGGCCTGCTTGTTCAGAACCATGTGGGTCAAGTGCTGCTCACTTTATAATTATAAAGTCATCACACTGAGCTCATATTAGAACTCTACTGGCCTGATCTTCACAGTTTATATTCAAACAGTTTTACTGCTCCATCAGCATGTCAATTAATCAGGCTATAAGTAAAACCACAGTCTGTGCAGAAGCAGACGTTTAAAACAGTCTGTGCAGAAGCAGACGTGAGGTTTGACTATCGTCACAGCTTTAAACTTTATTGCTCAGGTTTTTCTCCTCAGGGTCTGGGCTTCAGTATTGTGGGTGGAAGAGACAGCATGTATGGACCAATGGGGATCTACGTGAAGACCATTTTTCCTGGGGGGGCTGCGGCAGCTGATGGACGGCTGCAAGAGGGTGAGTGTGAGAATAAACCCATAAAATACCCCAGTAATATAATTAATACCTACAGCAGAACAGCATTATTACTGTAACTGTAAAGGACGAGCTGATTGGGAAGACTTATTGCCATAAATGTGTTCACATTAGGTCTGTGGTTCTCAAACTATGGTACACCAACCACTTTGTTTTTTCATTTACAAACATTCCTACATACTGGAAAGCCACATATTGTCTTTGTCTTTAGGACTCAGTACAGTACAGTACAGTACAGTACAGTAATACCTGGTCTGTGTCTGTACAGGAGACGAGATCCTGGAGCTGAACGGAGAGTCTCTACACGGTCTGACTCACGACGAAGCTTTGCACAAATTCAAAGTGAGAAAAATGAAACCACTGAGTCAACTGACTCGATTGTTTTATCAAACCCAAGCAAATTAAAACAAACTTTTGTGTTTTCTGCATGCCTAGAATTTGAACAACTACTACAATACCACAGACTAGCAGAGTGCAAAGTCATAAAAATGTTATTTTGGTTGTTGGGCATTGGTGCTACGAAAAATAAATTTACCTAAAATGGAAGAATTATCTTTAAACCAGGGGTCACCAACGTGGTGCCTGGGCCACATGCTAGTCCCCCGTGGACTACCTAAGGTATCACTAACTTGATGCTGTATTGTCTTTGCAGCAAATCAGAAAAGGCCTGTTGACTCTGGTGGTGAGGACCAGCCTCCGTGTAGAGGTCTTGTGTGGTCAAACCCAGGTGGCCCAGCTTTGCAGGTCGCGCTCCCTCAGCTCCACCACAGGGATGGCGAGGGTCAGCGCTGACATGGGAGGCTACAATTACCTGACCAACACCTGCAGCAACACAGTGACCCACCCGAGTCAGCCCACTAAACCAAGGGACCGCGTCATGATGGAGATTGTACTGCACAAAGGTCAGCCTTCAGATTTTTAATTTACCGGCCAGGGTCGTGAGCCTTACTCTGGGAACCACAGGAATAATGTATTATTTATTTAGTAATTCCAATGAGGACAGAAGCATTGAGCTGATGGAGGTTAGAATAGAATAGAATAGAATAGAAACTGAGCTGATGGAGGTTAACTATCATTAAAGTGAAATATCTGTGTCACATAAAACATTTTAACTTATAACATGTCACTTGAAACAGTGACTTCACTGAAAAACTGAATGTGAATCTTTTCAGAGGCTGGTGTTGGTCTGGGTATCGGACTCTGCTGTGTTCCATCAGCTGATGGCTGCTCTGGGATTTACATCCACACCCTTTCACCTGGATCTGTGGCACATATGGATTGTAGACTCAGGTCAGTTACATAAACAACAAGGCTAACACTGGATTAAAACGACTCGGTCAGATTCTTTATCGTGCTGGACCACTGGATCATTTTAGTAGAATTTTGTTCTAGCCCTTCTGTGAATCAGAGCCACAACAACGAGTTCCTTATTGACGCCACATCAAGCTATGTTGTCGACGGAGTAAAAAAAATCAAGTTGGGTCTCTGTTATGTGACATTTAGCATTTAGCTTTACGACTGATATATTGACTTTGCATTAGTAGTAAAAGGCCAATGTATCCACGTCCTTCCAGTTCATTGCATACAGTATGTATTTGAACCTGAAGAACTATCCACATGGTACTCGGTATCGGGACCACCCTAATCAACGTAGTAACACAAGTACTGCTTTGTATTGACGTCTTATATTTGCCATGATGTAAAGCTGTCCTTTCAACAACTTGTCCAGGTGTGGAGATGAGATTATGGAGATCAACGACAATGTGGTCTACAGCATGGCACTGAATGACGTCTACACTGTCCTGAGCCACTGCAGCCCAGGTCCAGTCCACATCATCATAAGTCGCCACCCTGATCCCAACGTATGTGACAAACCAATTCTGCTTCATGGTTTCTAGAACATTTCAAGAGTGTCAGAGAAATAGACAGTGACCCACAATGAGGTTTAAGTACTGACTCCAGCATCAGACTTACGAATAAATAAACTCTAAAAGTAACTTTTTCGAAAAACAAATACATTTTTACGCTATGTTTTAAATCCTTTAATCAATTGAATACGGATTCTGTGATAAATGTATAACAATATATCAAAATAATAACTTTAACTAAAGTCAATATTGGGTAAATTGTTTATTGTCATTATGACGCCATATTTATTAAAGTTATATCCGGTTCCGGTCTCACCTTTAGTTGTAGAAGTCAGTGCTCCTATTTTTGTCCTTTAAATTCCCCGTCACTTTTCAGTGAATGTTTGTATTTTCCTTTAGTCTCCGTTAACGTCGCTAACGTTTTAGCAACAAAAACTCTCTTAGCAGTGAAGCAGTCCCGGACGTTGTGGCGCTATCGGTCTGTTTGGTTTGCACTTCCTTTACGTAGAAAAGTACGTCCGTAAACGTCGTACGTTCCCGTACGCTCGTGATGGCTCGGTCGCGAACGAACCGTCTCTCAGAACCGTTCCTCTTAAGTGAATGATTCGAGCAGGATCGAGAACCTAGACCTGCGTCCTGCAACCCGTGGTTTATTTGTGTTGTTTACATAATACATAAAACATAATTTTGCATTTAACTGTAGTATAGTAGTATATTTATTTAAGCAAAAAAAAAAAACTATAAGGAGCCATTTGAGATCTTAACGTGCATTATTAGGGAGCCGATACACGAGAACCAGCCGAAATGCCATTAATTATTTTCGCGCCCTACGTTTGGTATAGTAATAATAGTATAGTAATAGTATTTTAAAGCAATACATCCACTAGAGAGCAGTGCTGAGCACAGGGTTAATTTCCAGACTAATGTCAGTTTTTCAGACAATAACGAACATGTTGAAGGTGAGGAGGTGGAGACAATGTTCCTCCTCAGAAGGAGGTCCTAACAGAGACAGAGCAGAGGACAGTGGTGGTCTGTGTGGACGTTAGAGCAAGAGCAGGAGACCCTGGTGGACGGAGGACCTAACTTCTCTCAACTGTGTGACCCAGGTCTCAGAGCAGCAGCTGAACGATGCAATCACTCTGGCAGTGGAGAACAGCAAACCGAGGAGAGACAAGAGCCAATGGACTGTTGACGGTAAGCTACTGTTTCTATGGTGACGTCATCTCACCACTCAGATAAAATAACATGATCTAATGTTATGGACAAACCAGGTGAAAGTATGTTTTTATGAGTTTAAAATCGCTTTTACCATTGCAGGACTGCGCAGACCGGACACTTGCCCTCACGGTCGACAGAGGTGGGAGCCCTGTTTGGAGAGGAGTTTCAGTCAGCTGACAGTAGGAAGACATCACAAGACCATGACCCGCTCCTGCAGCGACACCAATGGCCAGCAATACAACCGCTGCCTCACCCTCCAGAACCTGCACCAGGAACATCATCACCCAGCGGGCCACATCCACAGCCTCGAAGGACCTAAAGTAACAACATGATCAATCACAGTGCACGAAGGGCCGACTCTAGGATCAACATTGCTACGCTGTGGGCAAACATTAACGGACAGTGGGTGTAGGACAGACCTACCACAGCCAGATCAAACTACACTACTAAAAGTCTTAAATAACATTCAGTCCCAGTAACAGTAAATATTTGTCCAATTTTTGACAACATAAATATAAATTGTTGTATTGTCAGTATATACTTTGACTTGTACAAGTCTGGACTTGAACATAACACCTGCTTGTTCAGTTGGGGCAGCAAAAATATTAATATTACTTTTCATATTTTTAATATCTTTTCTTAGAACAGCACACCCTCCAGCAGGTGGAGCCCTAAGAGTCGGCTCTGAGTTCACACATGTATTTTGTGATATTCTGTCATTTTTCAGGTCAAATGAGCGATGTCTCTCGACAAACCTCTTTTTTTCTTTTGTCCTTTGTCTCTACAGCCCGTGACGGACATGTGGTCAGAAACCAGACTATCTGTGCCCATGTTTGATGACTATTATAACATCCCATACAACTCTCCTGCAGCTAACCCTTCCAGTCAAATGTCCCTGGATCTAAGTGTGAAAAGCTCCAAGGTTCGACCCTGATCAGTTCCTCATTTGTTATCACTTACAACTTTTTACTTACCCTACCAAAAGTAAAGACATTTACACTTCTGAAACCCTGATATGTTGCTAACTTTAGCAGCAGTCGTAGCCTTTGAAAAACGTGCCCACCATGATGACTGAAAAGTGACACTGCAACAAAACATAATAACTTGACCCTAACAGAGTGTGCATGTGTTGGTGTGCACATTTGTCTACCTGTTTAGTCCAGCTGCCGGGTTCAGCTGGGAACTCCTCGAAGGCACTGCTGGCCTCAGGACGTGACCAGTGAGGATGGCTATAACGGAGACTCCAGTGGTTCTAGTGGAGGATCCCCAATCCGGGGCGAGAACCTGCAGACATCACTCAGCAGTTGCCAGGTAATTAAAACAAACATCCACTGATTGACTGTCCAGTGTTTATATCGGTACTACAGATTTGAAGTACTCGGCCGTCCAAGTGTAGCTGCCACTACAGTACTGTATGTGGGGCCATTGTGGGTGATAGTACATACATGTTATTGTCCACCAGGACTCAGTGGGCCTCACACTAATTGACCACATGTGACTTAATAGCAAACACGTGCTCTACGATCTAGCCGTTCAAACACACGCCCACTGTGTTAGTAACATACCACAGTCTAGACGCGTTCACAGGAACATGGATGGATAGGAACGTTTGACAGAAATACATTTGAATGATTTAACCTGAAAATGTAAAAAGAAAAGTTTTTTTTAATTCTAAGGATCATTAAATGTCATTTTTAGGAAAAGACACTAGTTTATTTAAGCTAACGTAAGATAATCAAAGGTATGCCAGACGTAGCTAAGCTAAGCTACACCAAACAGAGATAGTATTGTACAGATAGTATTGGCTAAGCTAAGGTCAGCTTACCTCTGAAATAAGCTTAGATTAGCTAATATTTTCTGATGAGTCAGTACTGGTTCCCTGTTCTCACCTCTCTTCTCTCTGCTCTTTTCTTCTTCTGCTGCTGCCTGCAGTTCTTCAGCAGTTTGTACAGAGCCTTACAACAGATGCTGAAGTTACTTTGCAGTAACGTAGGTGACCTGTTGGCGTGCTGTCTGTTTTCATGCTAGTGAAGGCATGCCAAGTGCATGGGTGTATTTTATACCTATTTTTAATTTATTCATTTTCTCATTATATCATTTTCTGGGTCATGGGGGGCTTGACCAGTCATTAGTCATTGGGTGATGGTAGGTGTACCCTAAAATAATAACAATAATAGTGCTGTCAATCGATTCAAATTTGTATTCTGGTTAATCGCAAGGTAGCTGTGGATTAATCATGTATTTGATCACAACTAATTATGGTTAAGAAAATTAAATAATTAATTTGGAAATATAACAATAATATTGATAATTAGTTTTGTGTACTTTGGTGGGGGGGCAAAGTAGTTTAATATTAACCTAGGGCTCCCTGTCTGTGTCAGTTACTGTGTGTAATGTGAGGTCAGTGATTCAGCATGATGAGTTGTCCTGTTTGTTGGAGAAGTGACCAATGAATGGACATTAATGCTGAGTGTGCAGCAGCAGTCGTGTCCACAGGTGCACGTTAGCGCTCAGCCGTAGCATGTTGTGTATCTTGTACCAAATGCAGACGAACGTCGAAGCGGAAGCAGAGGAACATGACTGCTCTCAAATCTCTGTGGTTTCTGTCAGAAACAACAATACTTCCTGTTTCTGCTACAGGAAGGAGAACGAATTAGAGAACGATGCAAAGGAAGGAAAGACGACTCCACTCAGCCAGACCCTGAAACGCACAACAAAAGGAGTCAGTGCACAGGTAGGAATTTACTGTGGTTTTTTTTTTTCCACATAGAGACACCTGGTGGTTCCAGTGGATTGACAGCAGGTAGAGGTTGATGCCTTGGTTTAAGTAAACGTGTCAGTCGTCACATTTCCTGTTTAAGACAAGGGAACTGAGCTGAAATGGAAATTTAAGGCAGTGCACAGCACTTGGAATTATTATTGTGGCGTCACTGCCACACTAATACTCTTACATTATATTTTTCTATTATTCAATATTATTTATTATTTTTAAAAATTCGTTAGTCGCAATTAGTTGCAAATTAAAACCTGGAGCAATAAGGATTGGGTTTTTTGTAATAAGAAGTGTCGTAATCAGCAACAGTTTGCAATTTCTTTTTCTTTAATTACAACATCCTCAGTTTTGAAAGAATAGGGAAAAAAAACCTCACCAGAATCATTTTTGATCTTAACATAACATGATTTGAACATACTATGTAGTTTTTAAAAAATAAAAACTGTGCAAAATGCAGGGGAAAAAAAGGTCAAGTGAGGACATAAAAACAGACGGAAGGATTGAATCTGTTACACCTAGAGTGAGAAAAGTGAATGACGCCACAACTGTGAGAAAACAGGAAGTCCAACGACAGTTAATTAAAGTTTGGATTTTCATGGACTGAATTTGGACATAATTTTTTTTTTCATAGAATTGAACAGAAAACTTAAATTAGTTCATTTAAATCAGACAGATACGATGAGTCAACATTATGTTGTTTGCTGTTAGCAAGCAAGAAGGAAATTTAGTGTAAAATAATATGCATGTGACTCTCAAGCCACAGGTTGAACAACCTGAAAGTATAACTATAAGTATAAGACAACAGTTTGGTCTTAACAGTCGTACGTATCCTTCAAACACACTTCGCCTCAGACAACAGTTTGGTCTTAACAGTCATACGTATCCTTCAAACACACTTCGCCTCTCTGAAGTACGTTCTACTTCCTGTCTTGACAGGAGATTCCTCAGCCGTGCTCTGCTCACATCGGAATAGAGGAGCTCTGAAGAGGCAGCCTCGTGTTGAACAACCTTCCCAAGAGCACCTGCAGGACCCCTGGGTTCGTCTCTCAGAAGGATCTCCTGAAAGTCTACCTGGAATCCACCAGCACCACATTGCTCACAGCACACAGTCCGTCAACACCGACTGTACTCCGACCACCATGAGTTATGAAGAGGATGAGGCAGAACTCAACGGCACGTCCATGGATGTGAATTCTGATCCAACTTTCGACATGAATTCTAAAAGCACATGCCAAATTCCAGAACAACGGAAGGGGCCACCGGTGGCGCCCAAACCCACCTGGTTTCGCCAGAATCTCAAGAAAATTCGAGACGAGCAGGACCAGAAACATCGAGCAAAACCTGCCGAGCTGAGGCATGCCGGGGAATTTAACCGAAACTTTGGAATCAGATCAGCTTCGTCTGGGTCCAGTCTCTCAATCAAGCAGAAGATCCACTCATTCGAGACGTTTTCCAGTCCTCAGGCTGCAGAGAAGGGGAACTACAGGAAGCCTGTGGCCCCCTCCACCTCACTCCCTCTAGTGGAGAAAGTGGTCTCACCTGAGCCGAGTGCAAAAAGCAAGTATGGGATCCACGACGGGATCCAATCCAACAAGTCTACGAGTGTGCCAGAGGCAGAACTCACTGTCACGAGGTCCACCGTCCAGACCACCACGGAACATCCACCCTCCGACACCAACCACACTGATCCTGACCCTGATCCAGTCTGTGATGACCAGGAGGACCTACAGCCACCACAGACCACTGAGGTGGACAGGGTGGATGTGAATGAAGATGTACTTCCTGCTGTATGTACTACAACCATTCTGGCAGAAGAAGAAAGTCCTCCAGAGGTGGTGGAGGAGGTTGAAGCAGAAAGCCAAGAAAAGCCTCTGAACACAACTACAAGCACTGGTCAACCACCGGAGAGCGCCCCCGGGAGGGGAATAGAGGAAGAGAGTTTAGACAAAATACTTGCATTTGGCAACCAGGTAATATTTTACACACGGAAAGAATTATTGTTTTGAAGTAGTCAATGTTATCATGTACTGTGTAGTATTTGGCTTCTGTATTTACCATAACAACCCAAAGTATCCTATTGGGAAAGTTCTGTGGTACTTACTGATCCAAACCAACCCAGAAGTTTTTATTTAAATTAAAATTTCAATCTGATTAATCAGTAAAATATTTGATTATGAATAATCATGATTAATTGACAGCATTATCCTAATCAATAATAATAAGGAAAATAATAATAAAAATAAATATGACTTAAAAAAAATAAGTACCAAGAATAGCATTAGCTCTAGTGTGTGTACCAGGACTGTAGTAGCTAACATTAGCTCTAGTGTGTGTAGTACTGTAATATTTTTGTGTTCTACGTTGAAACAGGTGTCACAGGCCTTGATGCGCCATGGAAACCCCCGGACTCCACAGACCCCATCATCAGGGGACGTCACCAACCCTGGTGAATCTGAGGACTCTGCTGCAGACAGCACTGACCCAGGTTTCTCTGTCAGGTACAGAAACAACTCACTGTGTAATACAGTGTGTAACTGTGACACAGGAAGTGGCAGAATATATATATAAGGAAGTAGTTTAATGTGACGTGAATCACTTCCTGTTTTGAAGAGAACGTTAAACTTTTATGACCTGACACTGATTTTATGTACAAATCTTTTTCTTTTATTAATGATTTTTAATTACAGCTTGGCCAAGCTGAGAGAATTCACCATTGATCAAGAGGAGGGGGCATCACATGACCAGGCAGCAGTCACTTCCTCATGTGCTCAGACTGTCATCTCAGCCATCCCTCCACAGGAAGTACAGAGGCTGATTCAGGAAGTGTCGAGTCTAGATGAAGAGACTTTGAAGGTAAAAAAAAAGAGGAGAAAATCACATAAGCTGAATTAGGGTTGTCCCAAAACCAGGGTTATCCCAAAACCAAGTACAAATATGTTTAGTTGTGTACTCTCTAATACTGAGTACCACCAGTGGTCTATCTTCAGATTGGGTTTTAGTAAATATTCAGTGAACCTTTAGGTGGTGTTATATATGTGTTAAAGCTCTGTGGGTAACAGGATGATGTGCAGTGTGTGTGTGTGAGTGAGTGAGAGAGAGAGTGTGTGCACTCAACCACAGCTACATCGAGGACACCGAGCAGGAAAACACTGACAGTCAGTTGATTTCTGACCACTGATATCGGTATTGGTAAAAAGAAATCTGCCCACAGAGTAGTCGCCATGGTATCATTCTGGTATCACCAATCACTCGTGAGCTGATGGTTGTGGTGAAAAGCCAAAAGGAAGCAAGTGTTTAGTGTATCAGCACAGTTTTAAGTATCAGGGCTGTTAGCAATACTGGTATTGGTTTGGGTGCATTTGACATAATTAATAAATTGGATAGATAGATATGAAATGATTCTTTTAAGTCTGCTTTTTTTCTTTTCTCACTTCTGACATGTTGATCTGTGTTTCTGTCGCTCTGTTACTGTCAGATTGTTAACACTTATCACCTCCACCCTTGTATGTAGCTCCAGTGTCACCTACACCAGCAGCGATGTCAGAATGTTACCTATAACAAATACTGAATAACAGAAATGACTCAGCATGTTTTTTCTTTTTCATTTTCTAACTGCAGCAGTTGGTGGACATCCATGTTGTTATACTGCACAAGGAGGAGGGGGCGGGGCTGGGATTCAGCATCGCTGGAGGTTCTGACCTGGAGAGTAAAGCTCTGACTGTAA